GGGGGGGGGGGTATAATGGAAATGATGCAAATTTATGGTCCTAAATGTCAAGAGAAAGTGGAGAATACTTTTGGTTGATTCATCAAAATAGTATACATCTATGATGAGTCGTGCTAAATTTGAAAATGTGAGAATCGTTTTAGTGGCTAAGTGCTATTTATAATGACGAGTTCAACAATTGATGTACGAATCTTTTTTCCTTGTTTTACTTTAAAATAAAAGTGCTAATTGCATATTACTTCTCCTATAGCTTTTGCACTAAAGTGCAGCAACTAACATGGACAAAAATTTTCATTGCAAAAAAAAAAAAAAAAATGGGGAGGGGGGGTACAATGATCTAGTATAAAATTACAAAAATATCTTAATTTTTTTTAAAAAAAATTGTTACTTCTCTTTCTGAAAATGTTATACAAATAGAAAAACCTATTTAATGCATACACAGCGAGAGAGAGAGAGAGAGAGAGAGAGAGATTAAAAAAAAAAGGTATAAGGGTATAAAAGTTAATTTTATGATTTTATTTTCAAAAAAATATTGACTTTTAGACATTTAACAGTTTGTTTTAGTGAAATTTCTATTAGTTTTAGTTTAGCCAAATATGACAAGGAGTTGCATACAAATTTCTAAAGTAAAGAGAATTTATGTATTAATTGTCTCAAATAAAGGAAATATATAACTTGCCATTTGAAAACAGCCTATTCTTGACCATTTAGATTCATGGGCGATTCGAACTTTAGAAAATTCAAACCTTACGAGTGAAATATATAAAGTTACCTTGTAGAGTTCATTTGACAGAAGTATCATCCTATGAGCATATTGAACTCTTGAATTAACATCTCCTTTTTTATCTGTTAGAGGATTGCAAAGTATGTATCCTTATATAAAATTCAAATATTTAGATACAATAACACTGCAAAATCGCCCCCACACTAAATAAATAAAATAGATCATTTTTTTTATTAGATCATGGACTTTAATATTCAATCATGACTCATTTCCCGCTTCATTACCTACGCAAAAAAAATGGCGAAAATAAATTAGAAATGAAAATCTAAGCTATACAAGCATGTGTTCTTTGAACTCGTTATTGTAAAGCAAACCTCCAATGCACATAATTACCAGCAAATCATTGGCATCGACTTAATATGCAAGTCAAAATTTGTTATGTGCATATTTAATCTTCATTCCTTGTTCGACCCCTAAACCAACCCTGCGGCTTACATTATGTTTTTATGTGATTACAAACTGAAACTCAGCTTAGAAGTAAAAGTGTTTCCAAGATCATAAGTACCATTGTATATCTCTTGAACAATGATTGGAACAACCATGCCCATATAGGAAATACCACTAATATAGAGTGGGTTTTTGAGAAACTTGGGTGATCCACAAGCCACTGCATCACAATGCAAAAAAATTAAACAAACTCTTTTATTAGTTTGCTTGAGTAAATAATCAAAATTAAACTTGTATGTGTCATAAATAATGTTGTCGAACAAAATCAAACACAAAAAAAAACTATCGCAAATATAGGGGGGGAAAAAACATATCCTACCCCAATTGGTCACATTTTGTCGGGATTTGTATCGTAATTTAAATGTTATTTGAAATATGAATTATATTTTCAAAAGTGCATGTAATAGTACTTTCATTCTTCAAATAACTTTCTCTCACCTTTCTAATAAAATCGTAAGTTTGCATTGCAGATATTGTATCGCTGGTAATGTAAACTTCTGGAGTATTTGCATAAGAAAATCTCATCCCAACCGGTTGATCTATAAAAATGACGTTGGCAACCTACAAAGTTATAATCACACTTAATTTCTTGACATTTAGAGGGGTTTTTTTTTTTTTTTTTTTTTTGGGCCAGCCTTTGATTGCATATCTTACTATAATCAATAGGCAGGGTAAAATTATAGACCTTTGTCCAAGAGTATGGGTTCTGTTCCAATGGTGGTTCATCTCCACTGAAATTTGAATAGTCAAATGTAAATGGGCATACAAGGGAAAGTAGAGTTGAATATTCAGTCCTTACCAGACATCACGCGACAATGTCATAGGATGGCAGTTTTTCATTGGATGTAAGCACCGTGTGTCAAAGTTGGACGGATCGAGGCGATTAAGGCCCAGCAAGGCAGCCCGCAAATAATAGCTCAAAACCGAAATAACTTAAACCCAATTGGTGACCTTTTACCCCCTTAAAACTCATTTGGATAGGCCCAACCCAGCCCGAATATCATGCCAACGGGTCAGCCCACATGTCCTGGGCCATTATCAGCGGGCTGGATAGGGCCTATCAGTTGCCCATTTGTTGTAGATTTTAGTGACGAGTTCGATCCTTAGAAGCATGTGAAGTTTATAGCATGACAAAATAGTAATTCAATAAATAAATATTTTTATGAAATGTACCGATTTCATAGAAGAAAGCACGAAGAGCAGTACAACCAGGCCCGCCCGTCAACCAAAGCATGAGAGGATCTTCTTTTGGACCCCTTTCGGATTCAATGAAATAGTAGAATAAATCGACTTGTTCATAAATCATGAAGGATCTGATGGGACAACAATCTATTGATTTATCTAACGAACTAACCTCAAACTCAATTTTAAAACTAATTCTACAGACTTGTCGGTGATGAATGTATAGACTAGTTGATCAGGGGCGTTGCTATAAAACTGCACTAGAGGGGGAAATTTTAATGATAACAAAATAAATAATTGAACCAATAATACATGCGAAAATTAAATATTAATTAGCAATACTTCTATGCAATTCATCCACAATTTTTCTAGACTAATTTTTTTATTTTTTAAATATTGTAACCTTATTATTAATGACATAAAATATTTTTTTTCATGTGGTGCCTAATTTACTATCTAATCAGCCATTTGTATTGGATTAATAGGGGAATCTCAACCTTAGTTGGGACCCCCATTGCTAATACAATGACAACAATAGATTACATCAAATAATTAGGAAAGAAAATTAATTTCAAATAGTATTATTATTATTATCTTTTTTTTTTCTCAGGGGTGTTTGGGCCAGCCGGTTTATACGCACCTCGATTAATACTTTCCCCATTTCGATCAAAGGTAGAACATTTACGTCAGGACTAGATAATTCATGAGGGATAAATTTCTCATGATGCTAGTGTCAAAAAAGTTACCAACATTCGAACACAAGAAGGAGAGAACAAATAGCTTTAGGTATATTTTTTACAAACATATTAAGGGAATTCAACTAACTAAATATTAACTAAAGTTTATGTCATTGAACATTTAGAGATTGAACCCAAATATTAATGAATGATTAAGTGGATTAGTTTTTATGAAAAGATTTTTGAATGGGGCAAAACGATTGACAAATACACCAAAATATATGTAGGATTTATTTGCTAAAAAAAACAGTTCTAATGTGGGCAACTTTGACTAGGGAACGGGAGAATTTCTACTACCGTCGGCCCAAAAGTTGCTCCCTTGCCTCGCAGCTATGTCATCTATCATTTAAGTGAAGTTATTTTCTAAGATGACACCTCTTATTCTACGATAATCCAAATCACAGCTCCACAAGTATGCTCGGAACCAGTCGACTCCTAAACCATTCGTTCTCCCCTCTTGCTATTTCAGCTCCAAGGAAAGAGAGGTCTTTGATTTTACCAGTGGAATGATAACTTTACTTCTTGACTCTCTTTATTCTAGTTGAGTAAAAAAGTCATCATAGCAACTAGTTTGTGAATGCTTAAATCCCTCATTTAGAGTGCAACATTCAATAGACATCCACTAGATTACTATTATTCACTATCACCCCTGGTCAATGATGTAGCGAGTGCAGAATCAACTAGTTCCAAACCTTACACTGAGTTGAACACACAAGTTCAAGTTTGATATGTTCAATTGACTAAAAAAAATTCAGTACCATTCTTGAATAAGATATTTGAATCTCGTCACAAATTGGTTGAGCTCGAATCGGTTCATTTGAAAACACTCCTTGCAAAGATCATTAGAACAAACTATGAAAAAAAAAAAAAAAAAAACATTAAAACCTTACCCAGTTTCCATTTTAACTGGTAAATCACCGGAAAAGCCAGGAAGAGTCTTGATGATGGACTGTGACGACACAGTTATGTTGAACTTGAACAGAAGCAACACAAGAATGACTCGTACCAGCACTAAAACTCCACTAATGGAACTTCTGGGCTTAACTTGATGGTCAGCCATTAATGGAGGTTCTGGTGCCATGAATAAGCTTTCGAAGGAGCTAAGGTTATTTCTCAAAAAGAATAAAATTTACTATCTCTTCGGGCTCCAAACCTAATGCTCTGTTTGGTTGAAAGAATAGAAAATAGTAATGATAAAAAGTACGAGACATACATTTTCTATCTTTTAAGGAAGAAAAGTAAGAATGATACACTTTGTTTCATTTGTGTTTAGTTCAATGGATGGAAAATAAAAATTATTATTATTTTTTTTGCTAGCTAAGATTAAAAGTAATAATCGAGTCGTGTTATATCGTGTCGTGTCAGATTTGTGTTGTATCATGTCGTGTCAGATTCGTGTTGATTAATTAAGGGTTTGTATCAAACATTAGTCAAACCTAACTCAAGTCATTTAACTAATTGTGTGGTGTCGAATTGCAAATTAACCTGTTTATATTCGTGTCGTATTTATATTCGTATTTGTGTTGACCCACATAAATTTNATTTACTATCTCTTCGGGCTCCAAATCTAATGCTCCGTTTGGTTGAAAAAATAGAAAATAGGAATAATAGAAAGTACGAAAAATATATTTTTCATCTTTCAAGGAAGAAAAATAAGAATAATACACTTTGTTTCATTTGTGTTTAGTTCAATGGATGGAAAATAAAAATTATTATTATTTTTTTTGCTGGCTAAGATTAAAAGTAATAATCGAGTCGTGTTATATCGTGTCGTGTCAGATTTGTGTTGTATCATGTCGTGTCAGATTCGTGTTGATTAATTAAGGGTTTGTATCAAACATTAGTCAAACTTAACTCAAGTCATTTAACTAATTGTGTGGTGTCGAATTGCAAATTAACCTGTTTATATTCGTGTCGTATTCATATTCGTATTTGTGTTGACCCACATAAATTTTGAATAAAAAATTTAACGCTAATATTCTATTTTCTTTATTTTTTATTTTAATTTTATTATTTTTAAATTTTTTTTTAAATTTTTTTTCAAAATATATATATATAAATACATATTTTATCATTGTATTTTTATATGAAATTAATGTATACATAATATCTATATAATAAAGTAGCTTACAATTCAAATCTCAAAAGATAAACAAAATGACTTTTGTTATTCACAGTTGAGATCGCTTTAAATTTTATTTTTAAATTAATCTAACGGCTAATATTAAACACCTTAAATTTAATAGATAAAATAGGGCCATAAGGGTGTGTGTTGGAGTGATTTTTTAAAAATTNCAAACTTAACTCAAGTCATTTAACTAATTGTGTGGTGTCGAATTGCAAATTAACCTGTTTATATTCGTGTCGTATTCATATTCGTATTTGTGTTGACCCACATAAATTTTGAATAAAAAATTTAACGCTAATATTCTATTTTCTTTATTTTTTATTTTAATTTTATTATTTTTAAATTTTTTTTTAAATTTTTTTTCAAAATATATATATATAAATACATATTTTATCATTGTATTTTTATATGAAATTAATGTATACATAATATNTTTTATTATTTTTAATTTTTTTTTTAAATTTTTTTCAAAATATATATATATATATATAAATACATATTTTATCATTGTATTTTTATATGAAATTAATGTATACATAATATCTATATAATAAAGTAGCTTACAATTCAAATCTCAAAAGATAAACAAAATGATTTTTGTTATTCACAGTTGAGATCGCTTTAAATTTTATTTTTNGGTTATTACCACTCCTTACAACCATCATCGTTTCCTACCACCACCACTGTCACCCACCACTTCTTACCCCTACTACAAACCGATGCTTAAATTTTCTTATCTCTTCTCTATGTTTGTAATTTGATTTTAGAAATTAATACAAATATGTTTATTATTTATTATTTTTTATTACATTGTGCTTTCAGGCACAGACAATAACTAATATATATATACTAGTCATAACTCATGCCTGAAGGCACGATAAAATATAAAATTCGAGCGTTCAAAAAATCGATCCCACTATATTAAATTTTTTCAAAATATATTAACTACAAATTAATTAAATATTAAATAATTAAATATATGATAGAAATGAGTGGTGTGATATTTTTAGTGAGGAAATATATAAATGATTAAATATGTGATAGAAATGAGTGATGTGATTTGACATTTGAGTCCGACAAAGGGATGATGAGTGAGATAAGTGATTGATGATGATTTTAAGGGAAAAAATATGACTGGGATAAAATACATATACACTCCTGTTTTATTATATATATATATATATATATATATATATATATATATATATATATTTTTAAAAAATTTGANACTAGGAGTAAATGCAGAGGAGAAGATAAGAAATTGATCATGAAGATCCTTGGGAAGAATTTCAATGATGGGGCCGTGAGTCTGCCACCACCTTACAAACCAGGAGGGAATCTGGCTTTTGAAATTCTTATCAAATTGAAGGAACCAGGAGTGATCTTGAGAAGCACTCTGGTAGAGGATGAGTTTAGTCCATGACTCAATGTAGTCATAATAACTAAACTTGATATTATGGCCAGGGAGTTCTCGGAGGGCAGAAGGGTGAGAACCCCAATCTTTAACGGAAATGATATTCTTAATGAATAGAGAATGGTAGATATCCGTATTAGGGTCATTTTTATCAGGAATTCCTTTGATAAAAATAGACTGGGTGAAGAAGAGGATATCCTGGTAAAATACAAAAGTTTTTTCAGGATGGGAAGGGACAAATGTCCATCCTTCTCCAAGATAGGCATTGACCAATTCCAAAATTTTGGTTAAATGGGCATGGATTGGTTCAATAGCAAATATGTTTACGATTGGGTTTTTGTTGAAGTATTCAGTCAATGGGCCTTTGGGTCGTGGACCAGATCGATAGAATGGATCAACAAGAAGACTAGTGGTTGGTGGCACTTGCTGGGCCATTTGGGAAAAGGTTTTGGGGTTTACTAAGGTAGGCTGAATAGGGCGACTTAATGGGCCGACTGGTCTACCAAGGGGTGTAAACCGGTTAGCAATGGTCAAGGCACTAGAAGGGCCCGGAGCACTGATATATATATATATATATATATATATATATATATCTCAACACAAATAATTAATTTTTTATCCACTTTCCTTCTGATTTTGGAGGGATTGATTTTGGTGAGTTGGAAGGAAAAATTAATCAATCCACTTTTCCATCATTCTTATTTTCTTTCCTTACCAAACATGATGTTTTATTTATCCCTCATACTTTTCATCCTTCTATTTTTTCATCATACTAAATGGAGTATTAGTGTTCCTTGGGACTATGTAAGACTGACTGTTCTTGAGAGGTAGGTGGAGATGAATATAATTCACCCGGGGTGGCCCAATTAGGGCTATTAAACGATACGAGTGACTCAAGCCCATCTTAATTTGACTCGACTTGGACTTNGGAAAAATTAATCCATCCACTTTTCCATCATTCTTATTTTCTTTCTTTACAAAACATGATGTTTTATTTATCCCTCATACTTTTCATCCTTCTATTTTTTCATCATACTAAATGGAGTATTAGTGTTCCTTGGGACTATGTAAGACTGACTGTTCTTGAGAGGTAGGTGGAGATGAATATAATTCACCCGGGGTGGCCCAATTAGGGCTATTAAACGATACGAGTGACTCAAGCCCATCTTAATTTGACTCGACTTGGACTTGCTTATTTTTATAAAACAAGGTGAATCTACACAAAAAATTAGTCTCGTAAACTAGTCCAAACCAGTGTTATCAGAACCGGACCTGACCGGCCAGTCGGACCGGTTCATCCATGAACCGGGACCCTAATCGGTCCGGTTCCTTAATTGAACCACTTAAGGAAGTGAACTGCTTAAAAACCAAAAAATCGGCCAATTTTTAACAAAAATCGTGAATCGGCGATTTTTTAGAAATCGGACGATTTAATGTTCATTCAAAAATTAAATTACATAAACAAATTAATTCTATATTTTTGGTATTTGGAGCTTTTTTTTTTCCCTAAATTAGTATCGCAGCACCACCACCGCCAGGCTCCAGCGACCAAGGACTCAGGGATTCTTTGATTGCGATCAGCCACAGCTCCAGTGATCAGGCTCCAGGGAACTTCGACTGTGATCACTGATCAGCCACAGCGATCAGCGACCAGGTGAGGCGACTGCGATCACTATCAACAAACTCAGGCGGCTGCGATTAGACTTCTATCAGACTGTAAATTAAGGTAAAACTTCCTTCCATTAGTTCATATCTTAGTAACCAAAACTGGGGGTTGATTTTGGATGTAAACAAAAATGGTTTGTGCTTCTGTGAGACTTGATTTCTTTGGTTTTGATTTCATTGGTTTTGACTCTTGAATGGTGGTTGATTTTAACAAACAGGTTATAGTATTCAACTCAATCTTCCATTAATTCACCGTCGATCATCCATTAATTCAATAAACAGGTTATAGTTTTGACACTTGAATGGTTTTGACTCTTAAACAAAATGGTGGATCAATGGAATGTTTGGTCATGTATTTGTTAAATCCAATGCTCATTATTTCATTCCAAACCATATTAATTCTAAGAAGAATCAAAGTAATGTCTTTTTTCATTTTTGCACTTTGTTGGGTGATTTTGAATATCACAAAATCAATGTAAACTTTTAACTTCAGTAGAGATTGTGGTTTGAGCTTTGGAGTTTTTTTTATGTTATGTACTTGGATTGGAGTTTTAAAGTTCAACTTTGATATTTGGCACAGGTGTTTCTTTTATTTAACTTTATTAATTTTATGACAAATTGTATGCATTTTAGACATATTTTATATATTTTTTAACTAAATTATTATGTTTTATAATTATTATATATATTTTTTATTATTTTTATTATATGGCCGGTCCGACCAGAGAACCGTTGACCCAGTCCCCTAGCCGATTCGAAGACCGGTCCGGTTCTGATAACAATGGTCCAAACATCATAACCCTCGACCCAAAAAAAAGGTTTTTGTTCTTGATTTTGTTAGCATATGGATTGAGCATGAATAGTGGATTTGATTGAGAGATGGATATCTTAGCTAAAAACACGATACACTTAGATTTAAT